GCTTGTATTATTAATTTTTTAAAATCCGGTTGCTCCCATCCGATCGCTTCTCGGCAGTTTATCGCGTTGTGCGCTACTATACCCATTTTGGTTCTAGTTGCGCATAGTGATAATCACTGTGCGCTACTATACCCATTTTGGCTCTAGTTGCGCACAGTGATAATGATTAGGATAAAATTAAATTAAGTTGATGGGCAGTGCATCGAATGCATATGTTCACCTCATGCTCAGAATCAAACTTCCAAGTTGTAAGCCTTTAGCTATACGATTTACACTGTTACATGACAGTTCAAGCTTGTATTATTAATTTTTTTAAACCCGGTTTTACCACAGCTCCCATCCGATCGCTTCTCGGCAGTTTATCGTTGTGCGCTACTATACCCATTCCGGTTCTAGTTGCGCACAGTGATAATCACTGTGCGCTACTATACTCATTTTGGCTGTAGTTGCGCACAGTGATAATGAATAGGATAAAATTAAATTAAGTTGATGGGCAGTGCATCGAATGCATATGTTCACCTCATGCTCAAAATCAAACTTCCATGTTGTAGAGTCCTTAAATATTAATGTATTATGTAAAACATGCCTTTAGCTACACGATTTACACTATTATATGACAATTCAAGCTTGTATTATTAATTTTTTTAAATCCGGTTTTACCGCAGCTCCCATCCGATCGCTTCTCGGCAGTTTATCGTTGTGCGCTACTATACCCATTCCGGTTCTAGTTGCGCATAGTGATAATCACTGTGCGCTACTATACCCATTTTGGCTGTAGTTGCGCACAGTGATAATGAATAGGATAAAATTAAATTAAGTTGATGGGCAGTGCATCGAATGCATATGTTCACCTCATGCTCAAAATCAAACTACCAAGTTGTAGAGTCCTTAAATATTCATGTACCGTACTATATGTGTAATATTAAGTACTATGCAAAACATGCCTTTAGCTACACGATTTACACTATTATAGGACAATTCAAGCTTGTATTGTTATTTTTTTAAATCCGTTTTTACCGGAGCTCCCATCCGATCGCTTCTCGGCAGTTTATCGTTGTGCGCTACTATACCCATTTTGGTTCTAGTTGCGCACAGTGATAATGAATACGATAAAATTTAATTCAGTTGATGGGCAGTATATCGAATGCATAAGTTCACCTCATGCTCAAAATCAAACTTCCAAGTTGTAGAGTCCTTAAATATTAATGTACTATGCAAAACATGCCTTTAGCTACACGATTTACACTATTATATGACAATTTCAGCTTGTATTATTAATATAAAAAAAATTCAGTTTTAACGCAGCTCTCTTCTGAGTCGCTCCCATCCGATCGCTTCTCGGCAGTGTATCGTTGTGCACTACTACACCCATTTTGTTTCTAGTTGCGCAAAGTGATAAATAATAGGATACAATTGAAATTATTGACGGGTAGTTTATCACTGTGCGCTACTATACCCATTTTGGTTCTAGTTGCGCACAGTGATAATGAATAGGATAAAACTCAATTCAGTTGATGGGCAGTGTATCGAATGCATAAGTTCACCTCATCCTCAAAATCAAACTTCCAAGTTGTAGAGTCCTTAAATATTAATGTATTATACAAAACATGCCTTTAGCTACACGATTTACACTATTATATGACAATTCAAGCTTGTAATATTAATTTTTTTAATCCGGTTTTACCGCAGCTCCCATCCGATCGCTTCTCGGCAGTTTATCGTTGTGCACTACTATACCCATTTTGGTTCTAGTTGCGCACAGTGATAATGAATAGGATAAAACTCAATTCAGTTGATGGGCAGTGTATCGAATGCATATGTTCACCTCATCCTCAAAATCAAACTTCCAAGTTGTAGAGTCCTTAAATATTAATGTATTATGCAAAACATGCCTTTAGCTACACGATTTACACTATTATATAACAATTTATGCTCGTATTATTAATATTTAAAAAATCCGGTTTTAACGCAGCTCACTTTAGTAGCTCCCATCCGATCGCTTCTCGGCAGTTTATCGTTGTGCACTACTACACCCATTTTGTTTCTAGTTGCGCACAGTGATAAATAATAGGATACAATTGAAATTATTGACGGGTAGTTTATCACTGTGCGCTACTATACCCATTTTGGTTCTAGTTGC